GACACAATGTGGATTATCAGCAATCAGAAAGACCTATAACAAGTCATAGACACAGCATAACAATTTTACCACATCAATGACATCCAAATGAATTTATCAAAATTACAACTCTTTATTATTAATAAAAAAGACACTAACTATGAACAAGGGGTCATAATGGATAAACTCAAAATAAAGGGCTGCAAACCAGGTATCCCAGTGAGAATCTTAGGGGTATGGTATGACAGCTCTGGGTGAAAAAAATATCAAAGAAACCTTATAGACCAAAAAATAAATAGAGCTAAAACCCTATTAGGAATGAAAAAAGTGATAGACAAACAGATGCAATATATTATCAACCATGTCTTCATGCCAAGTATAGAGTATCTATGCAATGATATAGTTCTATCCAGAGAAACCTGTAATTATTTAATGAGCAGAATAGTCACAACTTACAAGCATAAATTAGGTCTCGCAAACACAGTCCTAAACAATATGTTGTATAACAATCAGGAATACAACTTAATGTATTTATAGGACTGACAAGTTCTATTACATCTAAACAACTGGACAACTAGAATCAACCTTAATAATACCACAGGCAACATAGCTAGATACAGACTTCAATCGCTACAAAATATATACTGGTCAACAGAACCAATTTTTGCCAGTATGCGACAAACATTCTTGAAGCATGGCACAAATCTTACATATGATATAATTTGGCTACCAAGAACACATGGCTTCAATCTCAAGCAAATAAGAAATGAAGGCCTGTCAGTAATTAAAAAAGAAGGTCAAACCATTTAAGAACTCATGAGCGAAAACTTTTATCAAAAATATTGAAGCAAGCTAAGAAAACACATCCTACTATTTATAGGCCAACTTCGGAATAAGGACAAACAAAAAACACTACAATGGAATCAACTCATTAGAATCAACAGGATAGCAATACAAGGACCAGTCCCCAAATGGTTCTTGGAGATAAAGACCAAACTAGATCAATAACTAAAACTAATAACACAACAAGCTGATTCCTTATATAATAATTTCCTTTAATGCAAGTCAAACACAACAAGCAATATCGCAAGATCACATTGGGTTGGAATGGAAATAAACAATCAAATAGTCATTGGTGGAAAACAAAAAAAAATAAATACAGAATTAGCAACCTACAAACACTATATATGGAACCTAGAACAATTCCCTTTATTGGAATGCTTAGGTTGCAATATAAACCAGTCAAACAATTTTGCGACTTCCTGCAACTTTGAAGCAACAAGGCAAATAACAGTAGAAATTCCAGCGCATTGTAGTAGAGTATCAACACAACAATACTCAACCAACAAAGAACTAAACTTCAGAAGCCGAATATCACCCAACTCCTTATTATTAGGTCTGCTAGCATTAACACATTTATCCTAAACAGGAAGGGATAGAAATATAGAAATTGAAAGCATTGAAGAAGAATCTGTACAGAAATATATATACAATCTCTACAATGCAGAGGAATTAATCATTAAAGAACTTTATGACATCAGTCAAGAGCTTCAAGATGACATACACTTCGAAATATATATTGATGACTCTATGAGTTGGCAGAATAGACAACACTATATAGGAGTAGGATGGACCTTAACAATCAGAGACAATAGATACTTCAATTTCCAAGGCCAAGTTCAAAACTTTCTCTCTTCAACCAGAACAGAATTAATGGCCATCCTCACAGCCATTAGCACTCTTCCCCACTACAGCAGAGTACAAATATATATAGACAGCATGGCAACCATCAACTATATTCAGAAAATTAACAAGTTCACCATCACATAACACTACAAAAAACAAAAAAACTCAAACATTCTACAACTAATCAAAGAAATTTGTAAACAAAGAAATATAAAGCTGGAATTACTCAAAGTCTAGGCATACATAGGAAACATACAAAATAAACTCACAGATCAATTGGTAGAAATTAGCCAATATAGAAGAATGAAACCTAATACAAGAAACATTACATACAAAACTAAAATTCTAAAAGAAATACATTTTGCTATACAATGGAATGAACAAGACCTGGAAACACCAATAAAAGAAACAATCAAGAAAATTACACAAACAGTTCACTTAACTAAATGGAGGCTCTTGAATAGAACCAGAAACAATTTTGATGACCACTTAATTCAGAAAATTCACTGATCTACCATCTTCAAATATCTTTAGATCATCAAAATAAGCAATTACATGACAAACTGGGAAGACCAATAACAAAGGAGATTTCTACTAAACTTATGGAACGAAGAACCGTTCACAAAAACACTAGTCGAAAAATATTTATTCGGCATAATACCACTCGTGTAATATTCGTCAAAAAAACAAATAATTTAGTATATTAATGACATAAATAAATCGTCAATCTATTTTTACCATATAATTCAGCAAATAATTCGGCATAAATAAATCATCAATCGATTTCTACTATATAATTCGGCATATAATTTAAATCGTCAATCAATTTCTATTATATAATTTGGCATTATTTGATATATTTGTACCATTTTTACTATAAATTTCGTTAAATTTTTTCTCAAAAAATCATTAGACATTCGTCAAAATTTTAATTTTTGTCAAAATTCGCGTATTTGCTGAATTTTTAATTATATATTATATTTACAATTTAGAGGAATTACAGCTAAATATTCGTGAGAGTCTTGCCAATTTGAGGTTCTGTATCTAAATGGAATAAATCGGCCAAAAATATTATGAATAGGGATCATGCATTCACATCTAACTGGGTAAAATTCAGTACTCCACAATTCAACATTCGCATCATTTTCAGATCCAAAATAAAATCTATTTTTTACCGAATTAACCAGTTTATACTATCGAATAAAGGCCAAATGATGTTCAATAATATTATTCGGAAAGTTTACCGAATGTGTAAAGAAGAATTGAACTTGTCCCGCATATAAATCGACACTTCCATCGTGATTCACGAATCTAGTTAATATAAATGAGCCCTTAATATTTCGTGAGGACATAACAGAATCAAATATTTCACTCCCAATTCAGCATCTACCATATTGATCTGCTCTATTCCGAATAATTATCAAATTTTCATTATCTTTTGTAAATAACTTCCGAAAGTCCATGGTTTCATAAGATCCTCATATTATTTGACTAATAGATCTAATATTTCAGTAAATACCTTTAAATTTGGTTTTTTCGGGTACAAGAGTTCACCTGAAAAATGTTCGGATCCATTGATTATTGTTTCGTGAATATTATATGTGTTGTTTAAAATCGATATAACTCATTAGCCGAAAACTAATCTAGTTTGAAAATTAAGCTGATATTTGGTCGATTATTTAAAATTTCAAGCTCCTGATTATTAGTATAGGACATAGTTAGATTAATAATTCAAAAATCATTTATCAATCTTCACATTAATTCGGGTTCAATATTTCGGTGACTATTAGGCAATGAATCTAGATTAAAAATTTGTTAGAATTCTACTTCCGAATGTTAAATTTGTTTAAAAACCTACCTAATATACCATTCATCTTCTCAAATGAAAAGCACCAAAATGTATACAATGGCCTATAATCACACACACATTCATATAAATGTAACGAAAGATGAAAATTCGGAGTAATTTTTTTTTTCCATATTTTTGTTCTATTAGTTTAATCATTGCGACTAATCTTTCGTGAGCCTTATTTAATGAATTTCATCTTAAAGTTCAGCATACTAAAATTTGACAGATCTTGACAAAATTCGTTAGAATTTTACGATTCACATCTGAAAGATGTTTCCATAGAATAATAGTTGCATTAGTACAAGAAACTATTAAAAAATATCATAGTCCATTACATATTATTATTAACAATTTAGGACTTGGTTGCAGTTTAACAACTGCTACTAGAGTGTTATATAAAGCTAGAATTTATTCACATGTGGCAGCAAAAAAACCATTTATGTCAGATGCCAACATAACCGCATGTATAAATTGGTGTGAAAAAAACAAGACTAAAAGTATCTACAATTGGCGACGTGTAATTTTTACCGACGAATCAAGTATTGAAATTGAAAAACAATCGTGTCAAATTAAATTATAGCATTATACAGGTGAAAGGTACGATTTTGAGTGTCTTACACCAAGTTTCAAAAGTGGTTGACATTCGTTAATGGTCTGGGGATGTTTTGTGGGGGAGATAAAGGGTCCGTTAATATTCTGCGATGAATATAAAAAAAAAAAAAGAAAAAATCAATGCCGAAACTTATCTAAAAATTTTAGAAGATAAGTTTATACCATTTTATGATGCCACATGTTCATTAGTAAGTCAGCATACGGTGTTCCAACAGGATAATGCGCCGATACATACGGCTAAAATTGTCAAAAAGTGGTTCGAAGAAAAAAAAAATAAAAATAATCGATTGGCCAGCCAACTCCCCCGACCTCAATCCTATAGAGAATATTTGGAAATTACTAAAGAATAATATTCAGAAACAAGAAAACTTTCCACGTACTGTAGACGAACTCAAGATAGCTTTAAAAAAAGCATGGTCGGAATTTGATGTATCTATTTTAAAAGAGGTTGCTGATTCGATGCCGCGACAAATTCAAGCAGTATTGGATGCAAACGGGGGGCCTACAAAATATTAAATTAGAAAAAAAATTTTTTTATGTATATACTGTACATAATAAAAAACTACGTGTTTGAATAAATTTCCATTTTGATGAAAATCGGGCGTTACTTTTGGTGCTGACTGTACGTATGACCTAGCATTTAAATTTGGTTCGAGAAAAAAAAACGACGATCGTAGTTTCACATGACTTGATTGTAACACGCAAATTCTTAGTTGATATAATACAAGCTCATGAATCACAATATCCAGATCCTCATTTCGTTCTCTCGCTTAGTAAAATCCGTGAATGTTACGATATAAGTTTTTCCCAACTATCTTTTAGCGGAACATAAAATTCTGAGCAAGAGTACCTTTCAGAAATATAATAAAAAAAAATGGATAGGCAAGCCGAGGAACAGCACGCTAGATTAGAACCACAGAAATTGGAAACTTTAAAATCAATGACGAGAACTGAGGTACGGATAGACATTTTTTCCAAGTATATATATATATATATATATATATATCATTGTTAATTACGATGATCTTATAGAGTCCTACAGGAAGTTCTAGAGTTAGACTTGACGATATCGAGAGTCGAAACTTTACATTGGAAGAAGAGGTAGAGTTCGAGAATGGTCATGAACGGGAACACTGAAATAAACTCATAATTCTGTTTTATACAATCAAGGTCAAAGATCTACGAATTCAATTAAGTGGAAAAAAAAACGAGCTCGAAAAGACAGTAGAATCGTTAAACAAACGCACAGGCAAATTATTTTAATAAACAAAATCACATGGCATACTTTTGGTGATTTACGTATTATTTTTTGTTACAGCTGATTTAGAAAAAGCAAAAGCAGAATATGACGAAAAAATGAAGAAAATGCGAGGTTTGTTTATTGGTTTTGTATATTTATGTTATTTTGATCTTTAATATTAAAATACGCTATCTACTAAAAATTTAGGTGTATTTAACGCTGCAAACAAAAGTTTGAATGAGTTGAGACAAACAGTGGCAGCGAAAGATTTAGAAATTGGAGAGTTGAAAGCGACTGTAGAAAGTTTAAAGGAGGACGATGAAAAAATGAAATTATCTGTTGATCAAAGCCAAAGTCAATATTTATTTTATTTTATTTTTTTTTAATACTAATTGATTACCCAAATTCATTGAATTTAATCACATTTATTATTTACAGAATCAATAGAAAAACTTACTACGGAACTGCATAGCCAGACTGCTATGTATAATACTCAAATAGAACAGTTGGTAACATGTCGTACATTTTAAGTCGAGTTAAATGATAATTATGTTACAATTATCTCCGTTTGATTAATAGGAATCCAAACTTCGGCAGTCTACGCAACAAAATATTCAGTTAAAATCGGAATTTCAGCAATATAAGACGCGAGCGCATGCTTTACTCGGACAAATGAGTTCAGGTGCAAAGAATTTAGATAATGGTACTGATGTATCGGAATTAATCGCCATTAACAAAAGATTAGAGTCTGATTTAAGGTTAGTAACAATTTGTTTATAATTTACCTTTATTCATTTTCATAAATTATGTATCACAAGGTTAAAAAATGTTTGCATTATTAATTTATTTTAGTCAAAGAATAGTCGAGCTAAAATGTGCACAAGATAAAATTTTGGTACTTGAGAAAGATCTTAAACATTCGTTTGATACAAATGGAAAACTTGAAAAAGAACTCGAGGAGGCGCAAAAATCTGCGAAGGTGGATACCGAAGAATTGCATGCGACTCAGGAACATATTCAAAGTCTTTTAGAAAAAAACCAAAGTTTGAAAGAAGGTTTATTTTATAACGCCTCCCATTTTTTATTCGAGTTTTTAAACAAGATAAATAGAATTTATTATTGGTTCTAGCCTTGCATGAAGCCGAAGCGCGATATACGGCTAGTATCAACGATTTTAATGAAAGGTTATCTGCATCAACTGAAACCATTCAAAAAAATCTCAAGCAGAAACAAGAAGAGAATGAACAATTACAATTAATATCTGAGGTAATTTATATACACATTACAGTAATCTTTTCTTGAAGAATTTTCAATGACAAGAACTTGCTATTTTAGAATCTTAGCGAGGAACTGACGCAGTTACGATCAGAATTATCAAACCGTTCTGAACAAATAGACGAGTTGCAGAAACAGCTTTCTATTGCTTCTGCTGGAAGAATTCAATCTGTCTGTAGCCCTTCTCGACGGGATGATAGTCGGTCGGCTTCACCCTCGTCTGTAACACATAGTCGTCAAAGTTCTACATATAGTATGTATCAAATTCTCGTCAGTTTTATTTTTTGTAATATTAAATTTGTTAATATCATTGCATCCATAAATTATAGATTATTCATTGTCGGATCTACTGGCCGATGCAGGAGAGCGTACTACGATAGTGTCATCTACTTTAAATATGTCCGATAGGGAACAAGATTACGCTTTGAAGTTGCATCATATGGCGGAAATGCTGAATGAGAGTGAAGCTCATGTACAGCGGCTAATTGAGCAAGAAAAGGTTACATTAATAACTAAAATTTATCATCATCCTTCAACTCTCAAGCATTATAACCAATTATTGTTTGTTTGTTTTTTTTAGATACTAAAAGAAGAACTTCGTAAGTTAGATCGATTAGAGAAACGACAAGATTTAAATGTAGAATATTTGAAAAATGTGGTTTTGAAATTTTTCGAAACAGATCCATCGGATCGTGAGGTAAATTTGCTTCTTTAATTGTATATTCAAATTTGTTTAGAAGTTGACTGATTCTGCATTGAAATTCTCCATTAATGAATAATCAACATTTGTTTGTTATTAGTCTCTGGTTCCCGTAATATCAACAATATTACAACTAAGCCCAGAAGAAATACAGAGTTTAAGAGAGAATGCCTTAAATGCTGCAGATAGCAGCCAAGTAGTTATAGGTTTCGGTGTATTATAAGAACAATATTGTTATACTGTATATTTTTATAGATAATTGATTACCTTAATTTAATTTTTATTCTATTTTTGTTAATATTATTGGATTTTCTGAATGCTCGGGGATATAGATATATCAAATCGAAAAAAAAAAAGTGTCGTTTACATTGTATGCTTGTATAATTAGAACATGATAATGTACGAATATTTAAATTATTGAAGTGCAAAACGTTTCGATTTAATACTGCATTGTAAAAAAAGAATGAAAGTCTAAAATGAAATTGCAAGTTTAAATGAGTAAATATTATATTGAAATTGAAATTTTTTAACTTCGAAACAGTTAGATATTTAATAAATGAAATTAATTTTGTCTATTTAGCAAATTTAAATAATGAATTAAAAAAAAATTTTTTTAAAAAAATATTTCATCTCAACAAAATTCAAAATTTTTTTTTTTTTTTTTATGCCAGCTCAACCTTTACTTTATTGAATATAGTTTTTAAATATAAGATAAAGTACATATTAAAAATATAATTTAAACTTATAAAGCTAAATAATATAACTGTTGGGGTCATCTTTAGATATATTGCTGTCTCTAAAATAAAAACTAGTTAAAAAATTTTTAAGAAGAAAGAGAAGGTTGGAAGTTAAATGAGTGAATGTAATAGTTAGTCTATATGTACAATTCCTTGCTATGCAACTTACAGTATATAAAAGAAAAAAAATTTTATTTAGGATACTTATTAAAATTCTTTAGGTAGTGCCAAATATAGTACTTATTTATATATAATAGTAGAAATACCAGTATATAGTTTGATCATATTTCAGATCCCTAATAATTTTTGTGCAATATCAGTTATATTTCAGATATCTTTATCTAGGTTCTTGAAAAATATGGGAATCTCAACTATTACCTTTGATAATCAAATCAACTTATGCTTTTTTATGAAAGTTTCTAAAACATTAGTACAGATTATATATAAGAGTAAGATACTAATGCTCAGTAGCAAGAGGAAACCTTTAGAATAAGCTATTGAATTGCTTTTTTAGGAAGTGTAAAGAAAGAAAAGTGGATTCAATCTTATTAAAAATGAGAAAAGGATTGGAAATAATAGCATATATATTGATACCAATAGATCAATTCACAAATTATTTTTTTTGATTCTTATAATTTAAGACAATGCAGTAAAAATTATTATTTATATACTCTATTCTCTGTATCCTAAGAATTAAATCAAGAAATAATTAGAGAATCCAATACTTTATCTTTCTATTTGATAGAGTTGGGAGGAATCTATTTGATAGTCAAAGATAGGTAACTGCATTTCTAAAAACCAGGTATAGCATCTTATAATCTTTATATAATTGAATGGATTTTTTCTGAAGAGGATTAATGGCTTGTATAGAAATATAGTTTATATATACCTGTACTAAAACTATATGACTTATAATAAATTCCAGATTTTTATAAAGCTGAGAAAATAAATTTAAGATATACAGTTGTTTCCAAAAGTTTGAGTCCACTTACTATGTTTTTATTATAAATTTTAACTTTGACAATTTTTAAATCATTAACTATAC